CCCCAAAACCCCAAAACCCCAAAACCCCAAAACCCCAAAACCCCAAAACCCCAGGTATTTGGTTGATAGTTGAAATTGCAGAAACTTGGATAAATAGACCGAAATTAGATTATATAAAGAAAAGTACTTTATAATAATTAAACCATTATGGAAAATCAACTAAAATTATCACTTAAAGTTCAGTTCGGAGACAAGGTAAAACGTCTCTGTGAGAAGGTATATGCTGACTTGGACGAACTTAAGGATTTTATTCAATCAAGCTTTAAGACGCTTGCTCCTCAAACCTATGTACTCAAGTACAAGGATAATGAAGGTGACTGGCTCTATATCTTTGATAATTCTGATCTTCAAGCCCTGAAGGAATACTTCTATGAGAAGAACGGAAAAGTTATTAAATTGGTAGTCGAGACTCAAGAGGAGCTTGCTACATCCGGTATTAAACCAATTAAGCTTAGCGAGAGTGTCTTACAGAAGTCTACTGTCAAAGACTCCTGTGTTGCTGAAGTTGAAGCTTTCCTTCAAGCTGAAAAGGGCAAGAAGGAAGAAGAGAAGGATTCCATTGAGCAACTCAAGGAGACTATCAGTGTCGATGAAGAGGAGCCTGAGCCTGAAGTTGAGACGGAAGAACGTCTTGTTGACTTTGATATTATTGACGAGAAACAAGAACCTTCTCAAGACTCAAAAATGGTCGACGAGCTCCAAGAGATCCTGGAAATTGCTAGTCAGAAGCCATCTGAGACTAAAGCTTCAGAAGAGCAAGAGATGAACATCGAGCCTGTCATCATTGAAGAGACTTCTGCTTTTGAAGAAGAGAAGCTACTCCCAGTACCTACTGAGCCAGAAGAGGAAGTCATTGAAACCTCTATTAAAAATTCTGAGGAACAAGTACCTGAAGAAGCTCCTCAAGAAGAGAAGAAGGAAAAGAAAGACTTCAATATCTTCGACTTGTTCAATAACATCAATGACGTAATGAACAAAGACGATGAAGACTTCAAGCCCAAGGATCTTGTTAAGACTATCAAGGACTCTGTTAAAGGTACTAAGGCTGAAGACAAGATTAAGAAAGTCTCTAAAAAATTTAAGAAAGGAAAAGGCTTCTTCATGAAGAGAATCTTTAAGAACATCTTCTCCGGACTGACTTGTGACAATGAGGAGAGAAAATCGACCGTAATCCATCCAGGCATCACTTGCGATGGATGCAACAAATCTCCAGTTGTTGGAGTAAGATACAAATGTTCTGAGTGTCCAGACTATGATCTTTGAGAAGATTGTGAAAAGAATGATGTTCATAGCCATCATGTCTTCTTGAAGGTGAAGAACCCAATGAAGGTTGACATCATCTATTCTCATAGAACTAATGATGATAGTGAAGCTTTCAACTCTACTCATCCTCCTCAACCAATTCATCAAGCTCCCCAGACTGCTAGAAATCCTCACTGTGGACAACCATTCGGAGGACAATGGGGAAACAACCAAGGTTGGGGAAACACATGGGGTGGCCATGGCGGAAGAGGACAAAGAAGATGCCCAAGAAACATGAACAACAACCCCTTGATGGCTCTAGCTCAACAGTTCTTTGGTGGCTTTGATAATAGTGAAGAGTCTGGATCTCCTCAAAGACAACCAAGAAGAGGTGGAACAAACTGGGCTCAGAAGAGACCAGTTATTGTTAGCAAGCCTGAAGGACCAATCTCTGGATGTGTTGGAGGTCTGGCTATTGTTGAGACCACTGTTCAAAACCAGTCTCCCTTCCCATATAACCTCAAGGATGTCAAGATGATTGAAGGTGATGAAGGAATCCAGTTCCAAGAGATCAACACAGAAGTCAAGCTAAAGAAGAATGAAAGCCAAGACTTCTGCCTTGCTGTCAATCTCCCAAAGACTCCTGGAACTTACAAGGCTAGATTTGGATTCTTCAACAAGAATAACCAACAACATGGAGAAGTTTTAGATGTTGTCTTCGAGGTTTTGCCTGAAGTCACTGAATAAATTCTCTGATAATTCTCTCAAAAATAGTAAAAGAAAGTTTCAACCAAATTATCGATTATTGGGGTTTTGGGGTTTTGGGGTTTTGGGGTTTTGGGGTTTTGGGG